GCAGCTTTCTACATTGACTTTATTCACATTCTTATTTAGTCTTGATCTGGTAGTGGAGGGATAGATGCAAAAGTGATGAGAGTTTGGTTTATGCTTAGCCTTTATTGTCGGATACCCACAAGGAAATAAAGCTTTGATCTACTTCCTTACAAAGCTAATCCTGGTGATTATGTGAAGATACGTGCAGTGGTATCTATAGGGATATACATCTTTAATCTCTTGGTGTTGAATACTTAATCCAGTAAAGATTCTTGGCAAGAAGATTTAAGAAAGAACAAAATAATTAAACTGTTCACAGGCACTGTTTTCAGGAATGCAGATTTGATAGTTTACTAGCGCAGGATTTTTTGTTTGCTTGTTTTTTTGTAGAGGGGACACTTAAATAACAAAATTGTATCATTCTACATCAATGGTTGTGAAACACACTATTTTAATTGTTGCAAATTATTAAACACTCAAAGGTCCAGCTTCCACATTGCAGAAATGAGACTTTGGTATGTGCAGGCATGATTAAGGTGGCTATAGCAGTGCAGACTTTCCAGTTTGCTTTAGTCAGCTTTAGCCACCAGTTTTCCTTTCTGATGCAAACAGAGTATGATGGCTTATAAAAACAGTATGTAAGTGACTGCAGATTTTTCCAAGTAATCAAAACTGACGCCTAGATGCTGATCTCTGACAGCATATCTGCATACTTGCATACACAGCTCTTCAGTCAGTATGTGGGGAGGTAAAAACATGCCATGCATATCTTAGGAAAGAACATCATCCTGATTAACTATCTTTGATTTTTCTTCAGACAGACTGGTCTTAGTTGTGCACCAACTATGGCCATTTTTGTGCTTTGATACTCATGGAATTAAAATTCCCCTTAGTGTGTGTGTGTGTGTGCATGCACACACAGGCACTCAAGGTCCTGGGGTACACAGTTATATGGATGTTACCAGATTCTCCCTGGTGTAAGACAGGTCTTAGATATCTATTACCAGCTTGGCTTTTTTTCACAGTAACACTTTGAAATAAGAATAAATAAAATGATTGAACTTTTTAATGTAATAAACTTTCCTTTATTACAAGGTGATCACACTTAGTTTGAACTTAGTTGTTATCCCTTGTTGTTGTGTTTAAAGAGCACGAGGTATAATTAGTTGGTGGAACTCATTGTCACAGGTTAGGATTTATGAACTGTGTATGAACGTGGGTTCAAGAAGGAGTTGGACAAACGTTCGCGATAGGTTTCCAAGCTTACTGGGAAGGATGATCCAGATACTGCCCATGACTCAGGCATTCTCAAAACCATTGGCTGCCAGATGCTGACAGGAAGGGATGGCACTACAGGCAGAGAAGGAGGAATGAGTCTCTTCCCATGAGATTTTGCTGTCTGCTATTGGAGACAATACATGCATCAAGGCTGATGTTACATGTTTAGCTCCAACTAGCAATATAAACTTTTCCTTGGCAGGGAGAGACTCATGGAAGAAAGAAAACTCCTGAAGCTATTTTACTGTTTTCATTCTAATATATACAAATATGAGATGAAATGCCTCCTGGAGATGCACATTCCTCTACTATTAAAGAGGACTGAATAACTTATACTAAGACCCTTACTTGCTCTGTATGATTTTCCATAGTTTGTCTATGGAAATTAAAACTCAGATTTCATGGAGCAAAACCATAGCAAGTTCCTTATGGTAATTAGATGTTTATATAATGAAAAATATGCACGAATAACCTTTTAGAGGGTCAATGAATGATCAAGGTGCAAGACAGCCTCTCATAATGACAGTGGGGAGGACTGTATACAAAGAAACCTGTTGCAAGTAAGTTAACCTCTAGATGCTGTTACAGATTTTCCTGCCTGTTCCAGTGAAATACTTGGCAGTTTTGGCTATCACATTCCTGGCTGCTTGCTGCTGAAGCTGGGCTCTGCTTCAGCCTCTCCCATGTTATTTGACACTGATGTGAAACAGAGGTCTATAGGGAGAGCTTAGCTCCTCATGCCTTCTACCTTCATAAAGTAAATTCTTAGGAGCTGTTCAGAAAGAAATTGAGAAAAGTTAAAATAATAGGTTTTAATCTGAAACTATGTTTTCCCTCACTCAAGTCCAAGCAATGCATTCTCTCATTTGTTTAGGTTTGTTTACCTTTCAAAAATTCAATTCAATCATCAACCATAACTTCACATGGAAATTAAGGTTCTAAACACAGTACGTTCTCTTCCTCAAAGTACAGACTGCTGTGGCCTGGATATTGCACTTCAGGGTCGTACCTGGAACCATAGTCTGATATCAGTATTTTCAAAAGCTCATGCATAACACCTCAAGCTTTATTTTCTTCCTGTGACTATAATTCCCCATGTGAAGTTTGTGTGTTACTTAAGATCTAATCTTTTGGCTTTGAGACGATAGGGTGACATCTTGTGCTATCCTTTTGGTTTCATTTTCTTCAGTACACTGTTCACAGAGGTTCACTTTTGCGTCTTCATCCATTCTTGGTCACAAACCTCCCAGACAGAAAAGATCTTCTCCAGACTGAAAAGAAGCAAAAGTGAGAGACTGTGAATGTTACATGAGTTCAAATGTTGGGAGATGCTCAGATAGAACTGTTAGGCCATGGGAGTACATAAAGAACACTTTAGTACCAGGGTAAAGGAGGGGAAATTTTTTATTTCTGTCCTTGTGTATTAAGCAGCTATCTTTTTGAAAAACATTAGGATGCAAATCCTGTGATAAGTTCAGAACCAATATTATTCAGCTCTTAAATAACCGTATTTTTTTAATTGATGATCTTTCATTGAAATGTCAAGAACATCAGAAGACTGAGGTAACAATGAAATCAAAATCAAGAAATTGAGAACGTTTTCAAAATACTTTCCTATAAAAGTCAGTGGGAAGGATGGTGAACACTTTCATACACTAGTCCTGCACCATTAATTCCAGTGGAAGTTACTCCATTTGAACTGGAATGGGATCTAACTCCTGCTTAATGAAGAAAGTATTTACTAATTTTCTTTGAGAATAAAAATATTCTTTGAGAATGTACTCAAAACTCAACTTGAGAATTTGGATGTGAGACTCTGCTAAGTGGTTCGCATTGTAAGGAGTACAGCAATTGGTTTCTAGATAACATAGGGGATATTCTCGATTGCCTTTCAATACTCAAGAAGTCGCACAGCATCATTGAGAAGGGAGAGGCTTGTTAAGAATACAGTTGGCAAAAAGCAATCATTATTTTCTGTGATTTTCCCCCTTTTAAAGAAATAATAAAAAAAGTTATTTCTGGAATTTTTAAGGAAAGCAGTATGTAGATACAGAAGTATGGGCCAGTCACTATCACTGCACTAAATCTGCATGCTAATTTGCATCAGATTCCCCTCCACAACCAGGCTTCAGACCAGGCTAAGGCTTGCCAGGATTCTCTTCTCATGCACTCATTTAATTTTCCTTTTCTGGAAAACCAGAAAGAAAAGATAGTGCGCAGACAGGTCTTTCCCTGACACAGGTCATGTATGTTTGACTGCTTTACAAAGGCCTGGAGGAGAACTGGAGGCTAAATATCCCAAGCAGAGGGTACTCCAGGCAGTCTCTGGTGGGAGCTCACCTACACTTGCCTCATGTAGGTTTGGCTGATGAAGAACTGAGAAGGTATCCCATGTACCTATTACTCATGCTGGCCTTTGCCAGGTGGAGAAGACCTGGTAGCTGCTGCAAAGTTGGCAAGGAGCTAACTGATGATAGGCGACATGAAAACCACTTTACAGATTGCTTAAAAAGCCTTTTGGTTCTTTGGTTGCTACTACTGGTGCAGGATGAGCATAACTGAATGCAACAGTGTCACTGAGGGTATTTGATTTTCCTATGCCTTTGATTCATTTGATCTCCCCTGTTTGTAAACTAAGGCACACAATTTAGAAATGTAAACATGTGTAACAAAGTTATCGCTATTATTTAGAGCAAACAAGTAAATGGCTGAGACCTGTGACCCTGGCACAGTACTTCAGTCTACAACTGGACACTTTAATTCAGCTTGCACTAATAGTGCTGTGTGTAGAAGCAGTTTCACCTCCATGAAGTTCTTAGCCCTTCTCTGTGCCTTTCTGTCTTTTGTTCTAGCACAAACATTTCTGCAGCTTCACAAGGAATCAAATCAGGAAATGGTATGGTAGACATTTACTCTTTTATTCATTGCCAGCCACAGCAGTTTCCCTGATTTGATTCTCACACACAGATTTATGCTGGCCAGGTGGTTCTGGGAGAGGGAGCAACACCTTTCAGTGTCAGTGACAGTTTATATTAACTTAAGGCATTTCTTAAGCTGCAGCTGAAAGGTGCAGTTCTGTGACTGACTTATTATTCACATTGACATAAGTCAAGTTTGTGACAAAGTTTGCCATAGTATCTTTGTGGCCAGATCAGGGAAATAGGACCTATGGGTGGATTACAAGGTGAATGAAATCTGACTGGTTTTGGGGCTCAAGTGGTAGCTGACAATAGTTCAAAGTCAAAGGAGCAGCTGGTTACAAGTGGCATTGCTCAGGGGTTTATGCTGCAGGAACTCCTGAGGTCCCTCAGAACTTCCATGACTCCGTGATTCTAACCCCTGGAAATGTTACCATTTAAAAAGCAGCTCCATCTCTTTGTGTATGTGCACACTAGGAACTGTTAGTCTCAGTTTTCAGATGAGAATTGTTTTAATAGTTATTTTCCCAGTAACAATTTGGATAGAAGAAGGAGAAGGGTCAGCGGAGTTAACAACAGGGATGACTGCCCTTCATGTCACCAGCATGGATTTAAGTCTGGCACACTGGCTTAGCCTACAAGCAACAAACCCAGTCTGTTACAGAGCACCTAGGGAAGTGAAGGCCAGGCTAAGGTGGTTAGAGTCTACCATGCTGAGCTGCTTCAGTTCATCGGATGAATGGACACCTCTCTGAAATCCTGGCTGGCAACATCTAAGAGCTTTTTAGATCAAAGACAACAGTTTTTAGAGCATGTGGAAGTGAGAAAGTTGGTGTAGCTGTCAAATAACTGGTGTCCCTTTTGTTCCTTCTGCCCTTTTGGTAGCAACCTGCAAGAAGCAAGTCACGAGTTTACACGGATTGCTATTTCTCAAATTCCATCCAATAAAGTCAAGCAAATGGGTCTCTGTAAGCAGATGACTAAACCAAAACACATTTTCTAAGGATAGTTTAGACTTGAAGTGTCACCAGGGAATAAAGAGAAGAGATTTTTCTCCATACTCCCAACTGGAGACAGACGGGGAAAAAAAAAAATTGTCATCAAAGACCTATCATTCAATGAACCAGGAAAAGATCTGACTTCATCTCTGACAAGTAGGGCATTGCAAACAAAATTGTTCTGTGCTGATGACTGCAGTGAGGACTGGCAGACACTGAGCTGTAAATACCAGGAGTTCATAATATTTCCTGTGGGATGAAACACTGACTGCTTAACAAAATTAGCAGGACTGTTCCAAAACCCCTTCCCAGAGCTCAAGATCTGACCACACCCTGAATGCTGGGACCACACATGAGCATGTAGATCTGCTGTCTCAAAGCAGCAAGACAAAATTACAGTGGAATCACCACCCAACTAATAAATCTTACTGTCGGTAAGGTTTCCTTGTTGCTGGGTTTTGTTTTGTTTGTTTGTTTTCTTCCTAGCATGCTGTCTTGGGTAACTGCATTAAGCTGACAATCTTATTTTTGTCTTTAAAAGGTATTTTTGTTCTTCCATGTGTGTGAACACTGGGCATGTGAGAAGGCTGAGGGAAGGAACGAAGGATATTGTTCTTGTCACACTGCTCATTTATCATCTATGACTTGAACATATTTGCTCCCTGTATGCTGTGTGTATATCCACTGGCTTGAAAACTCTCAAATATTAGAGTGAAACCCTATTTATGGGATGTGGACAAGAAAATAGAAAGATTGTCAGGGTCTTTGGCATGGCTTATTATCTCTGATGAACCGAACTCAGTATTTTAGATTTTGGCATGGGAGAGTTTATCCATTCAGTAAATTTACCATAAATGCAGCTGCATCTGGTGTATATTGAGTAAAGCAGTTTTAATAATAGAAATCTACATGGAACTGTAGTAAGCTGTACTGGTGCAAATCACAGCTCCAAGCAGCTTTGTCTGGCTCTGCTAGAGGCTGGCAGCGATACAGCTGTTCTGGTGGAGAGCAAGCAAAGGCTGAAATCACAGGAAATCCACAATGCGGTTACAGTCCTTGCCTGAGACACTGCAGATGACAAGCATTTTGGAAAGGCTGGTCCAGTAGACAGAGAAGACAGCTATGCAGCAGTAGTGTGTGATGTGGTTTTCCTCGGTTTATTTTTTGTACAGACTTTTCATAAGACAGAAAAAGAACCTTCAAATTAACACATTTTCGTAAGGTGTGTTTGTTTTAAGAGAACCTTTCTTGAGAGAATTCACCACCCTCCCTCCTTAAAACAAAATCACTTGAGAAGAAAGGGAAACATCTCTGTGTGCCTCAGAGTAAACATGCCCTGCTGGGCTCCTGGCAGGCACTGAGCCCACCCCTTCAGAAAGAAATCAGATCCTGAAGCAAACTAGGTAAAGGAGAAAAGAAAAGAAGCTGTTAAAACATTTTATCTCTTCCCCCAACCTAGTGCTACAGATGTGATCATTTCAGTTGTTTGGCTTGTGTGCTGGAAGCCTTAGACCCTCTGCAAGGGGACGTTAAATAAGATACAACAGAACATTGCCATCTTGTTCTTCCTCGCCACTGTCTTCTTCATCACTGCTTTCCTCTCCACATTCTTGGAAGACAGTCAGAAGATTTATTGCATAATTTCTTTGGCGGCTGTTAACTGAGTGTGCAGTTACAGCTTGGTTTAATTAAGAAATCAGAGTGATTCTTTTATGTAGGTCACATCAGTTTTTGATTGTGAATCTCATAAAGTTCTAACCTCTCTGAGAAGTCAGCAATGTATGTATGGCTTAAAAAAAAAATTACTTTCTTAAGTGCCTCTGAGTGTTGTTTATGCCTGCAAATGCCATTGCCCCTTTCTAGATAAATTATCAGAAAGATCTGTGTTTGGATGTGGCATTTAGTGAAATCTATCCTTTTGCAGCAGAATAAGTGCTTTCAAATAGGGTTCATAAATACAGTCTGAGTTCCTGATTGTCTGAAGTACAGCCATGCTGGAAAAGGAACAATGGATGATTTGAGTTTCGTTTCTTTATCTCTCACCACTATTCACATCAACTGGAAATGCATAAAAATCAAATATTCACAGCCTGTTGGAGAACAGGAATATGCTGGCTCAGAGATGTGGAATATTTTTTTTTAATTATCTAAATCAGTGACTTCATGAAAAGGAGGAGCCTGATGTCTATAATGCTTATACATTTATTTCTTTTTCTTGGTAACCAGACAGCATAGATGTCCGTGGATGCTTGCTACTGCTCTCAGAACACTACATCTATATGATCATAACAACAACGGTCTCACTCCCTCATTACATTAGATTGTCAACTTCCAGTTTGACTCCAGGTCCAGTCGCCCTTCCTCTCCGGACTCCTGAAGGAATCGCCACCCCCACATGTGATATTTGAAATCTATTTGTATTATTTTTAGAAAGCTTCCTGATCTCTCTCTGACTCAGTATCAGCAGAGTTAATGCAAGATTTGAGTAATATTCCTGAGAGTACGGTTTTAGATATTAAGTGAAAAGACCAGTCATTCCTAAGGAGTATAGCATTTCATCCCTGATCCTCAACCTTCTTGTCCTTGAAGACACAAGTTATTTAAATGATTTTGTAACCCATTGAGAAGGTTACATCATCTTCAACAACGTTTTTGTTGCCCAAGTAAAACGAGCAATATACAATCAGCAAGGGGCAACATCTTCATTTCTCAAGGACAGGAGATCTGTCTACCAAAGCATTATGCTAAATTATGCAGGAACTGTATCTTTCTCAGGATTGGCCCAAAGCTCTGAAATTAACTCCTGCAGGCATCTTACAGGTAATGCAGACTGCATTGCCTTCTGTTTTGCTTAGCCTAAATCTTTCGAGTCCCCTAACTTATAAAGGCATATCAGCAGTAAATGCTTTATATTAAAACAAAACAATAAAAATCCCAAGTAACCCTGGACACAAACATACAAAAACCGTACTGAAACAAAGCCTTTGCTGAGTTCTGCTTTTCTTCTTTGAGACTGATGAAAGAACAAAGAATGTGGGAAGAATGTCAGTCACACATATTACTTACGTGAAAAAATAAAACAGACCAGAGCCTGTTGTCTGTGCCCAAGTGTGAGTGCTGTGGCTGGAATGTCAGTTAAATGTGTCCCCTCTTCCCTCGTAGCTCCTACTGCCTGACATGTGATCCCCTGAACCATAACTGGAAGTGACTGGTATAGTGCTCAGAGGTTAAATATGTGCAAGGGAGAACACCAACACTTATATGGTATGAATAGTCACAGGTCAGTACCCTAGCTTTACCTAATTTTCTTGTGTAGATGTAACCATGGTGCAGAAAAAGAGCCAATGTAGTCTGTTAGAAAATAAGATACAACAGAATGAAGAAAGAGGAGGACAGACTAAGATGAAAAGTGAAAAGCAAGTTCAGCAAAGTTTACAGCATACTACTGAGGCAGGAATTCAGATCTAGGTGTTTAATATCACACTTCAGGCTATATGGCACTATCTGTATCATCTGGAGGTAGGATGCCAACATAATGAAGCACTGCTTATTAAACCTTTTTGAAGGAGAGTTGGAAGGAATCTGCCCATGGAAATGGTCCAAAAAAGAGTTACAGGCTGCATGGAGGGTCTTACTTTTCTCTCTAGCTCAATGAAGAATTGTGCTTTTCTTCACTCTGGATGCTGTTTTCCTGCTTCTCATGTCCCAAGCAGCCTTCCCAAATTTACCTTCTTTCTGATGCTGGACCTGGCAGCAATTGCCTGTGAGACTAGGACTGCAGCAAGAAATGCTTCTTATTTGAAAAGGCTGGTCTCTCAAAACTGGATTAACACATTGTGTGAGTTGGCCAGGTATAGAATTTGCAATGATGCCTGGCATTATTTCTCAGGGTCAACCAGAACTGAATTATAGAGAACCAGTATTGTAAAGCCAAAAGTGGCAACAGAATATTAAATATTTATAAAGCAGCATTACCTCCTGACCTGCTGCAAAAATCATGTCCTAACATAGCTTTTAGAGGGTTCTGGATAGTCCATCATTAGGGAGCAACAGCCCTCTCCTATAACTGAAGCTCCACCACCTCCTTCTTTGAAGTGTTCCTTCATGCGCTGGTAGCCAAATTCCACTTCCAAAAAGTGCATGTGCCAGCCTTTCCCTATCAATACATTTCTTCCTTCTTCTGTAATATTTCCATGCCTGTAGCATTTCTGCTAAACACAGATAGGAATTTACTGGGAAAGATAAGGAGGCCCCAGTGTTTTTTATTGCCATACCTACAGCACAGGTATAGATGCCTTCTAGTCACATGGCAGTGTTGCTGTAAAGGAGCTGTGCAGTTCCTTCTCTCCCACATGAAGGTCTGGTTTGTCCGTGTTCCTCAGGTTGAGGCTGCATTTTGCAGAGGCAGCCACAAAGATTTTCATCAATTGCAAGCAACTGTTTACTTCCGCAGTTTCCTTAACTGAACTTTTATGTGAGTTGAGACTATGTGATTTCATTATTTTGTAGTGTAAATCTCTGCTTACAGGTGACAACAATAAAATAACCCTCATGGTTTCTTTGGGAGTCAGTAAAACTAAAGAACAGTTTTGACTGGAACATATATTTTATATTATTTGCTTAATGTCTGGTTGTGAAGGCAGTTGGTTAATAATTTTATTCCAGAATGTTTCCCTTCCCCCACATTTTTGCTAGAGTAATCTGTGTTTTCCAGCAGCATCAGTGAAGCTTTGCCCTGGAGCAATCCCATAAACACTTGCAGGAAGCATAATTTTTACAGTCATAAGGCAAAAGCTGGGTAGCTTCACACAGCAATAGCAAGGGGCTGCAGACAGGCTGTCTGGTGGATTGTGCGCTAGGCTGGGATCCAGGAATGCTTGAATCCTAGCGCTGGCTTTTCCACCAGCTTTCTGTGTGGTCTTGGGCCTAGGCAAGCTGCAGCCTCTGTCTCACAAGTTGCCCATATATAAAAAGAGGATAATAATATTTGCCTGCTTCACAGGAGTCAACACTCCTGTAGTAATGTTTTTGCAAGACTCTGAGAAGCTAAAGAGCTGCCAAAGTGTTAAATCTTTCTACCAAGCAAGGAGTTTGTCTTTACATTTAGAACACAACTTTCTTTAGTGAGCAAAAACATTTCAACCACCTGCAAAGTTTTACAGACACTGCTGAATATCCAGTGACGTTTTTAGTTCATATGAGTTAAATTAGACAGGATCCTTTAAAAGAGGAACAAAGGAGTGGTTTAGCATTTTCTATGCACTTTAGTTGACTTGCTTATCCCCCTGCCCCATGGTCTGTACTTTATGCTGTACACTAGCCAACTCCTAGATTCCTAGATCCACTACTCATTTTAGACAAGTGCAATCAGTTGAACTCATATGGTCTTTCTTCTGGTTTGCACATCTGACATTCATGCAGTCTCTTTAGTAAG